TGGTCATTCTCTATTTTCAACAAGTGGTATCAGAGTTAGATTTCATTTAGACTTGTAGGTTCATTATTATGCTTTCAATTGATATTATAAAAAGTAGGATTGACTCTAGTTTGAAGGCCATGAAATTGGATTTTCTTAAAGTAGGGACTTAGTGTTTGGGATGTCTTTAATATAGGGAGATTGTGGACTCACATTTGAGGGAGAGATTGTTAGGTTATCCTTGGACTTAAAATGATATGAAAAGTCCCATATCGAATAAAATTGTGTTTAATAATTAGTATATAATAAAAAAAAATGACTTATAAACTTAAGTCCTGAGATTTTAAAGCATATTTCCCTTAATTTTGTTCATTTTTCCTCTTTCCTATTCTTAGGTGGCCACTCCCCTTCCTTACAAGTGGTATCAGAGTCAGGTTTCACTCAAGACTTAAAAGCTCGTTATTGCACACACGTTTGAAGCTAAAAAATGAGACTGATTTTATTGTAGTAGGAATTTGTATGTTCTATACCATTTAAAGCCTGTATAACATTAAGTTTAATAACTAATATATTACAAAAAAAAAAGATCCATAAACTTAATTAAGCTTTAAAATTTTAAGTTAAAGTGTAGTGTCTTTCTGTTAATATTGCCAATTTTTTATCTCCTCCTAGGGTGGTCTCTCCTCATTCTTAACAATGATATTGAAAATAAACAAAAAGAGACTATTATATTTTTTAGGATCATTTAAGCTAAAGATCAATTTCAACTCGGACTCACTATCAAAATATCATATATTTGTGACGTTTAGATTCAAGAACTTAATATTAAGAAGAAAAGAAACCATGCAGTATTGTAATATCTAACAATTCTTACTTAGATTTTATTTTCAATAATGAATGCCAACCATTCATTTTAAACAACTACTAGTTGAATTAACTTGTAACTTCAAAAATTTTAAATTAGTGAGATTGTAATCATTTAAGTTTGAATTATTGTTTACTAGTATATTTAAGGAGAGAGATTAACCATTTCAATGATGTCAGACAACCGATATCAAATCACTTAATTTTGTGTGTCAAAACTACTTGAATTCATATGCGTATAGCATATAAAACTTAACATTTAAGAGTTTGTTGTTAAATAAGGATTTTAATTCAGTAACTAGACGCATTGAGTGCTTGTATCATTTGAGCTGTTGAAATCCATATTAACGGTTTAAATAAACTCACTAATTCATTAATCTTAAGTGGAGTATGAATTTAGAACCATTGATATGAATTTTAATGATTTAGATAGTTCGTACAATCACCAAATCTAAATTCATTAAATAATTATTGCTTGCAGTTAAATTTATAAAATGGAACTAGATTTTACAATCAGATATACCTAATACCTAACTTCTTATTAAATTAACAATATGGCTGCACTTTTCTAGGAATAAGGAAGCTGATTCTACACCAATTGACGATATGTCAGTTACTATAATGGTTGGGTAGTTTAAGGGTCAATATAGCCAAAGGAAGAATGAGAAAACCCTGCTATTAAATGTTGGTTCACTAGGTTATTAAATGACCATATGTCAGTTATTTAATTTGCCATAGGATTCATAACATTAATTATATTGTAGGCTCAAATTCTGCTGTCAAGACGAGAATCTTATGAGCATTTGTAAGTGCTTATACAATACTCTGAGTTTAAACATGCTCTGATCCTAGTAAACTTCCGGGACTCAACTCACTAAACTTTTACATGTATAATAAAAAAAGGGAAAGCTTGAATTTAAGTCTCAAGGAAACCATAGAAATTGCTTGAGAGAATATTCTATAATAATTAATATTGAAGTCCAACTCAGACTTGTATGTATATGAATCATCTTCAAAAGTTTTGCATGCAAGGCTACGTGGTAAAAGGACTTTAAAAGATTAGAACACATGAAGTTTGAGAATTAATTGAAGATTATTGATTTTGGAAATTGACAGAGAGATATTGAAATAGGAGAAACAGAGAAATATACCTAATCTAATCAATGAGATTAGATTTTAATTAAGAGCATGTAAATTGTGGAAGCTAAAAGGAGGAAATATATATAATGGCAGGTGTATTGTTGTCATCTCAAGTAAGCCATACATTATCAACTTCACATACGCATTTATGCACATACAATTATCACAGACATGAACTAACAAATCTAACATATATAATTAACTCACAATAGTCCTCCTCAACCTTGGTCAGCAAGTATAAAAGAAGACATCTGGAGGTGTGAGGGGACAATGTGTTAGCATTGGAAATCAATGTTATACAATATATATAATCACTGTTGGTGAAGTAAGGAATGATATTAGCCGAAAAAAGGTTAACTAAAAGTAATATAATTCATATAATAATATTATCAATATCAACATATGATACAAAATAATTTATAAAAAATTGTACTATTCATAAGTGATGAATGATACAACTCATTTAATTTGTTGGATATAACTTTATATATGCACTAATACATAAAATAATTTGTCTAGACCAAAACACAACTAGAAATATTAGTAAAAAAAACTAGATCGAGATGCTTGGAATCTCAAACTTTAGACAGTAGGAACAAAACATGATCATAATAATGGGGGGTCACTAGGCACGTGCAAGCGTGCACCATTGTTTAAAAGAAAAAAGAAAAAAACTTTAGCGCACAATGCGCAGGCATGAAAAACACAAAAAAATTTTTGGTAAACACATGCATTTTGCAACTCTTTTACATTTTTGTTCTTTTTACTTACAATTTTATTTATGGCTTTTATTCTCATCACTTCATTTTTTTTAAATCAATCTTCAACGATGATGTGGCTCATCATAGAACAAATGTCATCAATATGCTAGCATATATAGCTCTATCCTATTTTTTGATTAGCAACAATTTAGCTACAAATAAAAATATATCAAGTATTAAAAAAAAAGATGAGTGAATGTAGACAAAGATGAAAGTGAAATCTGTTTTCCCTTTCCATTTACTCATGATTTTTCGATTAAATGGCTCTTTCAATTTTTTCCTTGTCACCCCATTATGCCATATATATCTAAAAGCAAGAAATCAATATCATTATCAACGTAAAATATAGACAAAATGTACATAGAATTTTACTATTTTCAAATTATAAATAATTCAACTCATCTTTGGCTTCATACAATGCATGGGCTAAGCCTAATTATTATAAATATTACCTACCATACTATTTGTTTTTTAATAATATAGTATGTAACAAATGTCTACAATAACTATGATAACCATGTGCATTGTACAAAATTCAAAACGCAAGTTATGATATATTTATATAAATATCGTCAATTTAATAACGTCTCAGCCCAAAAATATACTGAATAATTTTACAATAATAATGAATTATTTACATGTAATGATGTAAAACTTAAAAATTATTAGAACTTTATATTATATATTGATATATTTATATTTTATATTATTGTTGTGACATGAACATTGCAAGAGTTCAATTTATAAATTTAAAGAGAAGATGCAGCCCTCCGTGTAAGATTAATATTTTATATTGACAGTGATGAATCGAAAAAAAAAAATTAGGAGATTCTAAACAATTATTCTCTGGGGCTTGTTTATTGATATTACTTATTTATTTATATAAATATGGCCAATTAAATAATGTCTCCAAATATATTACATGCTAAATAAATCCATATGAATTATTCACATGTAACTAGATTGTGGGTCTGTGCATTGCATGAAATTTAATTGAGTCTTATTTTGTGACCTGATAATATACATATAGAGGGATGATACATATAAAAGTTAAAAAAAAAAATGGTCAAAGGAATTGTAACGGTGGGATTAAAATGAAAGGAGGGATTTCCAAGAAGTCGTGACGAGCCATTAAATGCGTTGCCATCCATTAAATGGCAGAGAGGAGGCATTAACAATCCAAGAATGAAGCAGAATCGCAGCGATATTCCAATAAGGGAACTTCATAACTTTCAGAATCTGAAATCATAAATTGCAATTCTTTCAGGTGATTTATTAGCAAACGACGCAACACTCCGACACGATCCCCACACACTACTCATTTATTCTTCTCTACCGTCCCTGCCTATAAAAACAATCCCTCATTTCGGCTCTCCCACATCACTTCACATCAATCTTCTCTCTTTTTCTCTGTCTTCCTGGAGATATTCTGGTATGCTTATTAATTCGCTTTCAGAGTTTCAGTATCGTCTCTTCTTGTTTGCCTGCTCTCCCGTGTTTGTTGGTCCCTCAAGGACGCTTTTATTTTCATCCTTTTCTTTTTTCCCCGCGTCTTTTCTACTTGTTTTTGCCTCACTCGTGTTTTCTGTTAACTTTGTATTCCGCTGCGCGATGTCGTATGTGTTCAACGGCACTTTGCTTGGAATTTTGAATGTCTGTTTATTCCTTTTCTCAAAAAGTTTCTTTTGAATCTTCTCTCTCTCCGTTAGTCGTTATTTCTCTTATCTATGATAGAGTGACGCGAGAATCTTTATATTGAGACTTCTTCGTGATTTAAATTTGCGTGCAACCAAAATGGCAAAACTTGTCTTTTTATCTGAAATGTCGAAAGTTTCTTTTTGGTCTTTTAATGTCCTGGAAAATAGAAAATATTAAAAGATCAGAGCTATGAGATAGAATATGTAGTTGTCGGTACTCTTAATGTGGATTCATGCATACTTTGGTCAATAGTCACTAGCGAATTTAAAAAAAAAAAAAAACACACACACACACACACACGCACACGAGTATAGGTCGGAATAATTCTTTATTTATATTGAGAAAATCATTGTAAAACACATGTATGCCATTTAACATAAAGTAGCCACTAAAACTTCAAAAAACCTAACTATGCATAGAGACATTGATTACAAAAATATTCAATTTTCTTCTAAAAATGTGTTTGACTTTATTTTATGTACTGGCTTAATTAATGTTGGTTTTATCGCTTGTTGACAGATATACAAAGGGTAATATTAAAGGTGAGATAGAATCCATATGATGACAATGTTCGATGACATGGCAACCTTTAGTGGCGATCTGGATATGATGGTTGCTCCCTTTGTGGATGGAAATAACTCTACACAACAATCTGAACCCGACTTGACAATCGAAGATGATTACAGCGATGATGAAGACCTTGATGTGGAGGAATTGGAGAGGAGGATTTGGAAGAACAAACTTCGCCTGAAACGCCTAAGAGAGCAAGGTGGAACAAGAGATGGACTTGAAATCGCTAGGCAAAGGCAACAAAACTCAGAAGAACAGGCAAGGAGGAAGAAGATGGCAAGAGCTCAAGATGGAATATTGAGGTACATGCTCAAGATGATGGAGGTTTGCCAAGCTCAAGGCTTCGTGTATGGCATCATCCCTGAGAATGGAAAACCAGTCACTGGAGCTTCTGACAACCTCCGTGCATGGTGGAAGGATAGAGTCAGATTTGATCGAAATGGTCCGGCTGCAATCGCTAAATATCGAGCAGATTCTCTCGCTAGTAAGAATAATGGGTTGAATACTGTTGGTCCAACGCCTTGCACCTTGCAAGAGATTCAAGACACAACATTGGGTTCTCTCTTGTCAACTCTAATGCAGCATTGCGATCCCCCTCAAAGGCGATATCCACTGGAAAAAGGTGTCGCACCACCGTGGTGGCCAACTGGCAAAGAAGAATGGTGGCCCCAAATCGGAATGCAGAGAGACCAAGGTCCTCCACCATACAAGAAGCCTCACGACTTGAAGAAGGCATATAAGATTGGGGTTCTCACTGCTGTTATCAAGCACATCTCACCCAACATTCCTAAGATTCGAAAGCTAGTGAGGCAGTCTAAGTGTCTTCAAGATAAAATGACAGCCAAGGAAAGTGCCGCGTGGATTGCCATTGTGAATCAGGAGGAGGCCTTGGCTCGACAACTTTATCCTGATTATCGCCCACCATCATCATCCCCTGGAGCTAGCAGCTCTGTAGTTGATGACTTCAATGAGTATGACGTTGAAGGGATGTTGGAGGCATCCATTTTGGACCTAGAGGATCGCCGAAAATGTGACAATTTTATCAACACGCCCAAGATAGATGTAATCAAGGGAGGGATGTCATTGCACCAACCTGCTTCTCATCATGCAATGAAGAGGAAGATTCCTTGTGACTTCAACAACACAATGATGAAAGAGCCACAGATTTTCACATGTCAACATCCTCTGTGTCCTTACAGCGAACCTCGTGTTGGTTTTCCGGATAGGATTTCTAGGGACAACCATCAACTCAATTGCCCATACAAAAGTGTTTCTTCAAATTACAGAGGTTTATCAAGTTTTCATGTTGATGAGGTTAAGGCAATCATATCGACCTCATCCTTTGTTCGACCCAAATCAAATCCTCGGCCTCAATCTGTTACTTTGGCTCTACCAGCACCACAACCACCACCAATAACGCTAGCAGCGTTAAATATGTCTAGGCTTGGAGTTCCAAACAATAACCAGAAAAGGATGGCTGATCTAGTGCCAATCTATGGCTCAAACTTTCAAGGCAATGGTGGTGGCAACAGCATGAGTTCAAGTGCTAACCTTGTAGTTGCAGAAAATCAACTGATCATTCCCCAGCAACAAATGGTTCAAAGGCATCAAGATAATTTTTGTGGTGATCAAGGGATGATGAATGGGGTTAGCTTCTTTCAAGATTCAAGCATGACTAATAACAACAACCAACTTCAGATGTTTGCACCACAGGAAGCTCATCAGTTTGACCCCTTCAAGGCTTTGAATTCTTCTTTTGAGACAAGCCACAACAACTTCATCATCAACAACAGCAGCAGCAGCAACATCATCAATAGCAGCAGCAGCAGCAACAACATCATCATCAGCAGCAATAGCAACATTATCAGCAGCACCAACAACAACAACAACTGCATCATCAGCAGCAATAACAACAACATCATTAACAACAGCAATAACAGCAACACTACTATCATCAACAGCAACAACAACAACAACTCCAACATCATCAATAGCAATAACAACATTAACATGGGCAATGACAACAATGATGTGATGATCAACAATGAGACCAATTTCAATGTGATGTTTGGGTCCCCAAGTGATTTTGGGTCTTTTGATCTGAGGGAGAATATGCAAGGAGCGGGAATAATAATGGATAAGCAGCAGGAAGCAGAGATAGCAGCATGGTTCGAGTGAAGGAGAGTGTGGCAATAACAAGAGGATCGGATGTTCATCAATCCTTTTACGTCTCTTTGTTACATATCAGCATAGCCCCCGTCTCCCCTCTCCCTTTCTTTTGTTTTGTTTTGTTTTTTGCCAATAATAATGAGGGTGTGTGCCCCCTCTATCACTTCAATCTCTGCACTGTCTTGTGTTTATAGATGGTCGTATCAATAAATAAGGTCTTTATTATGCTACGTGTTTATATTACCTAGATTCTATCGATTTTTCAATAAATTGGTCAACGAGCGCGCTCGCATTTATATAGATTTGATAGTAGTGTGTATGTTACTGCACGCACAATGAAATAACATTAAGCGTGGATTCAACTTATATATATGTCTATATATTATAAATGATGATTAATTAACTAATACAAGTATCGTGAAACTCAAGTGGAATAAATGCAAAGATTTTAAAAACGAGCAAAAATATGTAACTTAAAATAATGTCGATATAAAGAAAAATTAGTATCTTCTATTCATGTTAAATTTTGCTGACGGGATCAAATATAATATGTATCTATTCACTGGGACCCAGTATTCTCAAATTAAATTAATTAATTATGGATTTAAGCGTTAAAAATATTTATGGTGGTGTTTTAATTAAACTAAAAATGAATCGACTATTCTACTCGTTTCATTGATTACTGAGAATATATAAGTATATAACGTCAAACGTTGAGGATTTAGAAAACAACATACCGGGATTGAACTCCAGAGTCACAATCTGATAATTAAAGGAGGTCAGTACTCCTGGATAATATATCATTGAAAGCAGATATATAAAGTGTCATCTATCAAAACAAATAAAATTGACAGGAATAAAATCCTTTTTATGAAGAATTTCCGTTTTCAATCTTTAATAAATAGACAAGACAATCAACCCAAAAAATCATGGGATTTAACCAGATCTATTTCCAATGATCTAGAAGTTTTTCATTATAGATTTGTTGAGGATAATTATTTATTTGAAAAATTAATCTATTCAAATTAATATTGCACTATAAAATTTGATCAAAATGAACTATTATAGCATCTTAAATACATATGACCTATAAGCTCGCTTGTGGCACATCTATTTGAAATAGAATTTAACCAAACAATAAAATGTTACACACACACACACGTTGAAATAATGCGAAAAACTAATCGCATGCCTCGAGAACGCTTAAAAGGTGATTAATTCTATTGCGCTTAAACGATAATTTTGACGAGACCTGAATTATGGTTAGTGTCGATATGAATTACAATGATTACAATTAAAAAAAAGATAAATAGATAACTTTAATTTGTACATGGTTAAGAGGAGGCAATTTAGTTTTTAAAAAATGGGAGAGACAGATATCTTTCCATTTCTCCTGCCGAAATTAATTGCTTGTAATTCATCACCAATAAAATTTAAAGGCAGCAATCACAATTAACATAAGACATATCCAAGTTATTTACACCCAAATGTTTGGCTTTAAGTTGACCTTTACAATTAAGGTTTTAAGATCCGAACTAACCCGAATGATTAGATTGTTACCCATTGAAGAAAGTAGGCTAGTTCAACCAATTGACTCGTATTACCAGCTGGCCTATCTCAAATTAGATGGTTTTTAAAGATCAGGAAAAGACTCAAAACTCAAAATGGGTTTTTATAGGTCAAAAGCGGGTCATAGAAGGGCAAAAATGGTACTTTGAAAATCTTAAACCCTTTCATTCTTTTCTAAGTCAATTGAACAACCACATGTCCTAAGTCCTCACCGAATCTTCAGTTTCACTCTTCTCTTCTTACTTCTCTCTCAGTCTCGCTATGCATTCTTGGCCTTCTCGATTCACTCTTTAGTCTCCATCATTCACCGTCACCCAGGTATCTATCAAATGGTGTTGTGCTCGACATTCTTCTTCATTCTTTGTCTTCACTTCTCTCTTAGTCTCACTAGTCACTTCGCATTCTCAGTTGATCCTCGTGCAGGTACGTAGCTATCAAAATAGTTAGATGGTATCAAGCTCTACCTTCTTCATTCTTCATCTTCTTCATGGATTGTTCTCTCTTAGTCCTAATGAGATTTTCTTTCTCCCTTATTTATCTCTCTCCCTAATTTAACCTAATCTCCATAGTCCTGAATGGTATCGACTAAAGGATTGAACCTATTTTTTATTATCTAAGAGTTTATTGCAAATAGGGGTTTTTTTTTTCAATTGACGATGCCAAAATCTTGATGCACATGAGAGCCTGCTACTTTGCTATGTAATTCTATATTGACAAATTAGGAAGGCTATATTCTTTGTTTACTTTTGATTTATTAATTTACTTGTTTAGGTGTATAAAATGTCATTAGAACATCCTAAATTCTTAATTTTGAAATTAATTACTAATTAGGGGTAAATTAGTGATTGATTGGAATTTTGGATGATGAAGTAATGTTTTAACCCTTTAAGGTGTTGATTGTGTAGATTCGAGTGGAAGGATTGCATCTCAAAGTAAAATGTTAAGTACGGTGATGATTTCCCTCACTATACCACCCGCTGTGGCACATGATACATCCGCTGTGGTGCATAGCACAAAAAGTTGCACAAAGGAGATGTGTCTAGCTTATAGAACTAGAGGAAGGAGGAAGGGAAAATGTGTGAGAAAGGAAGAGAAGGCCAAATCTATGCTAGGGTAAGAAATTTTAAGAGCTTGGGAGATATTTTCAACTAATAACTTGCTAGGTAAGTTTCATACCACCTTTAGCTCTGATGCTATCCTAATTTTGTTTTAGTATAAATTATAGAGAAATTGAATCAGCAAGTATTAAGAGGTTTATTTTTTAGCCTTTAGTAATAAGAAGATTTTTGAAAATCAAGTGAAGCTTTTACAACTAGTTTAGGAGTTAGTGATAAAGCTTTAAAGTTGTAAGCTTGAAATAGCCCTTATAATATTTGACTTACTTAATCATAATCAACTACTAAATCCAAGGTAATCAAGGGTCTAACTCTAATAAGGATTACCAAGTTTGTTAAATTACACAATTACTCCCACACACTTTCTACATTCCCAAATCAAAGTTTAAAACATATACGAAAGTATGAGAATCCAAAAATCAAAGCATTTACAAAAGAAATTAGAAAACCTTAATTTTCCCAAAACAATGTGATGCGTAGTGGTGAATTGCATGAATTTTGACAGCAAATTTTGTTGTCATATGATAGTTGTAACATCTAGAAAAATTAAGTATGATTAATTAGCTTAATGAGTATTACTAGTATATTGAGGAGTTGTGCAGTCAAAGTGGCCTGATTAGTGAGTTTGGCTTTGATTTCAGCCTAAGATGTGGGTTTAGACTAAAGTTGGGCCATTCGGACATGGAAAGGGAAGAAAAAGTGAAGGAAAGTTCTCTGTGCCACATACCACAGCGTATGGACAATCCGTCATAGTACACAGAGGCAATTAGGTGTGTTTTGGGCTTCTCTGTGCCACACTCCATGGTAGAGGATAGCATGCGCCACAACACATGGCCAAAATCCTAACTTAATCTGTTTGTGCTTTGCTTGTGAAAACAAACAAGAGAAAGATTTGGGAATGAAGAACACAACTTGGCTCTACTAGGGCATGTGCATTGGGACTTTTGAGAATATTTAGAAGCTTTCCAACATAAAAGGTAAGTATAATGAGCTTCCTATCTTCCTTTCTCTCCCATATTTATGAAGTTTTGAGTTAGGGTTTAAGTTGAGAAGTTAATTTTTGATCTATAGGAATCATGGGTCTAACCCTATTAGTTAAAATAGAAATAATGGGAGTGGTTTAGAGTATTTAAACCCTACATTAATGATTTCATGTATAGTTAGTTGAGAGGAGCCATTAATATGCGAAAATTGTGATAAATGAGGTTGGTGGTGTTTATGGCTCATTAATAGTGGTTTAATGATTCCTTGAGGTCAATGTGCATCAATAGAACCTAAAGAACCCATTGGATATGATGAGTAATAAATTTATAGGATTGATAGAATAGAAAAATGTGAAATTGGTGTTAATAAATTTTCAAGAGCGAGATTATGATGATATCTTATAATGTGATTGTAGTGTGATTCTTTTAGTACCATTCGAGCTTGTAAGAAGCTTTGTAAGTGATTTGTGTGAGGGGTAAACTTTTAACCTCTTAAAGATTTAAGGTAACCGAGGAAAACTTAATTTGTATAGTTGTATGTTAATTTGATAATTTTGAAAATTATTATTTGAAATTTGTTTGATTCATGAAACTAATTGATGCAATTTGGCAATGTGATTAATGGTGATAAAATGTTTTGAAAAATATAGAACCTATTACATGTTGCACATTGATGGCACTTAGTTATGATTGATGGCATGACATGATAAAATTGATAAGAATGTGTTAATTAACATATGGAGTATGTGAGGGTGAATATGTGAATTTTTTTGACATGAATTAATTGTTTTGAATGCTTAAATATGAATTGTGCATAGCATGATCATGGGCAGGAGTTCACTTAGGGAGAGGAGTAGTTGGTCAAATTCACATGGTATTGGCAGTGACAGTTAGAATTGAGAAATCACCTTGGCATTGATCATTAGAATCGAGAGGTAGCCTGTATCCCATGGTTAATATAGGATTGTCCTACTTATTCTACAAAGGACTCGAACTTAACTAGTCTCCACCAATTCATAAAAAAGTTAGATTAGGGGTATGATACTATATGGTTATTAGTATTGAGAGAAACCAGATTACATAAGTGAATGAATTAACTCTAACTCGGTAGCTCCTCACAAGTAGAAGGGTAGGTTAGTCTGTGAAGGATGTAGCCACGTGATAGCCACCAATTTCATGTTAAAGGTAACAGGACGATATAAAGTTGGCATTTGATCATGTACTTAGAGTTCGGTTACATGATTGTTATTATTGTAGTCTGGCATGTGTTAAGGGCACATGGTTGGTATTATTGTGACATCTTGTTATACACTATCATTTGATATGAATATATGTGCCTTCAAGCTTGGTTACATGGTTGTTAGTATAGTGAACTGTGGCTAAGGTCATCATATGTGTTGTAAATATGTGTTTTTGCCTAATTGCATATGTTTTCAATTGATATACAACTGTATAAATTAGGTGAAACTTGGTTATTGAGTAGTTGTATTCACCTCTCAATTTTTAATATTTTTAGGG